ATCTTATTGTATACTCTATTATCCAGACAACGCCTAGGTTTTGAATCTGAGTCTTAATATGTCTTGAAAGTTGAGAACATTTACGTTTTGCCATTAAGCAAAAATGAAAAAAAATTACTTAATGATTATTAAAAATAATTACTAATTCTTTTGACTTTTCTATATATCGGTAAAATGGAATTTTTTATGTTCCCATCATTTTAACTTAAATTATTCCTCAAATGTACAACTTTTTGGCTGGTGAACTACCTTCTTGATTGCCCTTTTTTGTTGCAAACCGTACTGTTCAAGAGTGCTGACTTCGAGGGCTCGAGCTTGCTATCAATGTGTTACATTACTAATTGGCCTTCGAGTCGTACAGAATTACCTAGGTTAGTCAACCTTTTTTTATTGATTGCTTTTTCAATTCCAATACATAATACATACTCTTTTAATATGTTTTATAATCCATTTGCTCCTTGCCTGATATAACCTGTTTTAACAAAAATGGGTTCTAAACAGTTTCCAACAACTCTCTAACTACATAAATAACAATTTTGAACATTGTTTAGTGTTTCTCTGACTCTGCCAAAGTCAAAGCATTTACCAAGTTGTAGAGCAGCTCGCTCTCTCTCTCTGTCTCTCTGTCTCTGTGCGTGTGTGTCTCGTTCCATCCATCTGGCCATGGGTTCACACATTCGTGACCTTTTTGGCAACATTAAAAGTGATAATTTTCAGTCGAGCAGCAACTACCGAAGACTTTTATTATTTAATTTTCGTGCTTGTGCTAATAAATTAGGCACAGCATGAAGAAGGCAGAGCCAACCGAGCAGGCAGCGTTACCCAATCACCCGTAGATATAGCCGAACCCACCTCCCGCCCACCATACAGCCTCCAGCTTAACGCCCTGCTGTCAGTAATATTAACGGAACAACATATGCAAACTACTAACAAGCCGAAACTTTTGTTGAAATTCCACAAACCCTCCCTCACTTCGCACGAAATTTTTGTGTAGACATTTAAAAGGATTATGTGCCAAGTTTGTTCTTGGCTGGGCCCTCAAGCCTAGGCCATGGTTCGCTGCTCGGCACTGAGCGTAGAAGTTTTGGCACATGTGTGTGCATGTGCATTGGATTTGCCATTGTTGGAAAATCGCAACTAATAAAAATCAGGCAAAAATCTTAAGCCAAGAAAATGGCTAGCAAGAGTTTGTCTACATTTGTGTGTGTGTGTATGGTGTGAGTTCTTGGCTGATTGAAAAGCTGCTGCAATTTTGTTGAAATGTTTTTATTCAATTATGCGCATTATGCAAGCTTTACTTTTACATACGAGTACAACTCATATGTGTATAAAGTTTACTCAGCCCCCTCCGCACCGCCATCGTCTTCTTAACATTTGTGCAAACATTTACTTGAGCCAAGTGTCTCATTCCTGCCGCCATTGTTCTCTATTTTTTATAAATTAAGCAGTTAAGCCTTGCGTGTATTCAATTTTATGTGAGTAGTTAAAAAAAGAATCCACAAAGAAAAATAGTCTGCCTATTGAGTGCTGTTTAGACGGCGAAATCATTTTCACGAAACTGGATCTGTTGATGTTGATTTATTAAAAAACTTGCTTAAAACTGAAGTTGCTAGATGTTCCAACGAATTTTATTTCTAAAAAAAATAAGAAATATTATTTATTTGACTTTAGAAAGTCATTTTTTTATCCAAGGGATTCCAATAAAGTGCATCTCTGTATGGGAAACTTTGTTTTTATTTATCACTGCCGTTGAGATTTTTTAAATTGATCGATAACTCATGTGTGTTGTAGAGTTGAAAAATACTTCTTTATATTATTATGCCATAATTTCTGATCTCGTCGAAGCGCCTATGGTTGTAGCCGAAAAAAGTAACAAATTTCAAAATCCTTGCTATATTCTTAATCGCATTTCGATTATTGAATATTTGCTACCCAATCAAAGATTTCCTATTAAAATTCTGCAGATGAGATTTTGTTAAAGCTTTAGACAGCTGTTCGATAAAAAAAATTAACAGAACTTTGAAGCTGGCTGTTTTTCTGCTTATTGCTATTTAAAATTTGTCAATTAGGTGGCGTTCAAAAATATGAACAAACATTTTTAGGTGCTTGAAAATTTATAAAAATCTAAATATGTGGAAATACCCGGAAATAATTGTTGGTATATGGTTTTAATTATGATTGTGCTGAGATTTTCAAGAGGGGTGAGTGCTTTTCAGAAAAGAGCGGCCGATTTGTTGTTGCTTGAGTTTCATCAAATTACTAGCCCCGTCTGAATTGCTCTTAACTTTCACATATATGTATCTGGCAGAATGCTTGGTTGGGGATAAATGTATTCACTTATGCTTCAGCAAATTTGCATAATAAATCTTTTTTCAATGGATTTGTACTCAACCCGCTCGAGCTCTAGCTTCCTTGAACGTTATCGTATCAATGGATGCCATTATAATGCTTTCGATTTTGTAGTTTTTCGTTCGTTCACAGACTTCAGTACATGGTGGGCAAGTCTGTAAAGTGTGCACATCTGTGTGTGTGTGTGTGTGTATGTGTGAGCCATATTTGTTTCGTCTTAGATACACATGCATCGCTGGCAATATATTCAACGTTATAGCCATTTGCCAAGTCGCTTTCAATATTATTCCAGCTTTACACGTTAAAGAGGTTTCATATTTGATTTTCCCCATTATTATTGTTGTTGTTGTTGTACTAAACCTGACAAAGGTCTATGCGGACGTTTAGAGGTTGTTGACAGCGATTCCAAAGACCGTGATTGGCATTAAGTCGTCGAGATGGCGACAAGATGAAAGGGAAACAACATAATCCTTCAAGCAGGTCCATTAATGTATGCTTCAGCATTTTGTCCGTTTTGAAGTCAAACAAAAAAATTACTATATGTTTGGCTAGGCGTATTAAATACTAGAGAAAAAAACAAGTTGTTGTATTCATTTTTCAAACTTTATTATTACTCGAATTTGTTTTCATCTTAATTTGTTGCAGCTCTCATGCTCATTTACACCACAAAAATCAAATGTCTTAACAGTGTTTGTTTTGCTGAATTTAAACTATATTTTAATTTATTCATTTATATACTTATATATTTTGTTTTTACTATATTCTCGTTTGCAGTTAGTGAGATTTTAATACTAAATTTTTGCGTTCTCGTACTCATTTCTAATGCAATAAATTTTAATTAACTTATGTTTTAATTATTTGTTTTTTGTTGTTGTTGTTGTTGTTTTGTCTGTTCGTGTGTTGTTCAGTTTATGCGGCACACTATATGCTATATATTTTATAGTTGTTTGTTGCTATATTTATGCTAGTTATACATGTATACATACCAATTAATTATGCTCCTATATATATGTATATATGTATGTGTATATACGCATATATGTAGTTGTAGACTTTTACATTTCCATTCCATGCTGTTTACATTTTCTCATTTCATTTGTTTCTACAATATCTGTTTGGTTTTTGTTTTTGCCTTTATTTTTTTTTTCTTTTTGAAACTAAACTAAATACATATATATATATATATAATTTACAAGAGTTTGTTCTTTTTTTTGCATGCACACAATTAAATTGTTGTTGTAAGTTTCACGCTGTTTTTATTTTTAATAATCTGCTCGTTTCGTGTTTTCACGCCATTTACTTGCTTCATTTAATTTTCATTTTAATTACATTGTGGAAAGTTTTGCTAAATGCTTAAAATTAAAACTGAAAATTATATTCGGTATGCTGTTTCCACTCACGCATTCCACACCTCCACGCTCTTTCTAATGGAATTTTTAACTATGCCCCCTTTTTTCATCTCGTTATTTTATTATAGTAGTGTGTTAATCGCATTCAGAGTTAATGGCTATATAATTATTTATTTAGTTACATAACAAAGTAGATTCTAAATTTACAATTGAATGCTGTGTGGTTCTCGCTGTTTACTTAATGTTTATTGTTGTGGCCAATTACAAAGATTCATAGCGCCACTCAAAGGAACTGCCGCTTTTCCTATTTCCCATTTTTCATTTTAAATATTCCTCCTGCCTCGCACCTCCCACCTCCCGATTCCTTCCACCTTTCCGGTGAGAGACGCACTTTGTGGCCACAAAGCAGCTGGGCTTGTGTACTTCATATTGTTGAAACTTTGTTTTGCTTTGCTTTGCTAAAAACTTTTCTTCTTTTTCTATTTGCATGTTTCTATTTAAATTTATATTTCGTTCTGTTGTCGGTTTTTTGTGGCTCTTGTACACATTTTACATACAATTACAATTTATTCGTATTTGTAATTTGGTTTTTCGTATTTACACGTACTCGTACACAATTATAATTCAGTCTTTGGAAGAATAACATTCATGTTCTTATTAATTTATTTATTTATATGTATATTTTTGTTTTTGGTATTTTCACAATAACTTTTGCATTATTTTATGCACTCTGTTGTTCAACATTTGCTACATTTTTAATGAACTCAAATGTAAGCATTGAAGCCTAAAGACACAAATAATTAAGGGGCTTGCAATTGCAGTTGTTAGTTGCTATTGTTAATGCATAGTAATGGTTTTTGTTGGTCCTAAAGCTTGTAGTTTTGGATGCACCCGCAGAATGAAACAAGTACGAATTTACAAATGTATTAATACGAAGCGAACATGTTGTTTAGGATTTGAAAATGTTGTTTTCAGACACAAAATTTCGGCATTTGTTTAATGTTTAGATTATGAAGATATCAATGATATAAATTATGCCCATAACTTCAATGTTAAAATCAGCATTATTTCATCATTAAACGGAGGAAATTAAAAACAATGCAGCACACACAACAGTTTAATTTTTGAAACTTCTTTGAAAATAGAAAATATAAAATTAAGATTTCAATCGTTTGTTGTTTTTAACAATAATTGATAAAGATATAAGGTATAAGCCGTTTTATATTTAAAAATGTACAGCAATTTTACATTTCTAAAGGCAATTTAAATTGAAGTTGAAATCACAAATAAAAAAATGCACATTTCAGTGTGTAACGAAAATAACCGAAGGTAAAAATAAAAATAGTTGGCCACATAATAGTAACTGTACACATGAATAATTTAAATTAGAAAATCTATTCATAAACAATAGAGAATATATGTATTTATATCAACTGCTAAGCACAATGAAGACTAACCTACCTAAGTTGCAAGTGGCATGAGTTTTCAAATCTCATAGGGGACAGGACAAGGATACAACGAGCTACACTTAATCCTAGCTATGTACAGTTCACGTTTACTTATTTATTTAAAAACACTCGACAACAATTATTCATAAATTTTTGTTGTTCAGAGCAGCGATGCACTGTGGGGGAAATACTTGTATGCTTCAGTTAGTGTACGCGTTTCAAACTATAAAATTATATAACACAGTTGTAGTTGTTTGCTACTTGATTACATGCTAGCACTGCAGACAAACCATACATTTGTTCAATCACACCAACAGCAACATACATTCACACACACACACACACACATCCACACACACATATAAGTAGATATATGCATCTAGACACCACGTGCGCTTTTTCTTTTAGAGATCACATTTAAAACGCACGGTCAATTAATGTCACACACGCAGCTCATCCATCAGCGGATGTTGCTGATTTTGTTGCGATTGTTGTTGCTGTTGCTGCGACTGTTGTTGTTGCTGCTGCTGCTGCTGCTGTTGCTGTGCATGCTGCTGCGCTGCCACAATCACCGGCACAGTGGGCGGCGTGGGCACCACCAAACCGCCCGCTGTGGTCAGCACAGTGGTCATGCTCTGATTATGATGATTCTGCAAATGTTGCTGATGCGCCACAACATGTTGTTGGGCCGGCGAGTGTTGCTGTTGCTGTTGTTGCTGCTGCTGCTGCTGCTGCTGTGATTGTGTTTGCTTCATGCAACTCTTTTTGGTTAGTGTGCCGCACTGATTGCCCAACACCTGCAGTGCATGTGGAGGCGGCAGCATACCTGACACGCCCACCACGCTGCCTGTTGCACCGCCCTGGCCACCATCTTGCAGCGTTTTCATGTGCTTGGGCGGCGGTGGCGCCCGGTGTGGTATGTCCGCAAACTCTGGCGGTGGCAACTGATGATGCTGCATGGCATGATGATGCGACAGAATGGTCGCCGGATCGCTTTTCGTGTGTATGGTGAGGGTTTCCAGATCCCCACAAATATTATTGGGCATTTGCCCATTCTCCTGCCTCTTCAGCTTGGTCTGAGTGCGCGGCTCACTAAGACGCGTCTTGTCCCTTTGATAATAAACGCCCGCAAATATCAGCACATTCAGTATCAGGAGGGAGCAACCGATGGCGATCGTCACACTCAATGCAGTGGAGTAGGCGGCAAATCCATCATTGTCCTGCGCCGCGCTGGAGCCACTCGCATGCTCGCCATCTATGTCATCGGGATATAGTTTTCCGGTGGCATATCTTGTGCCATTCCGTTGCAGGGAGGATGAGGGCGAACTGAGATTCAGCAGCGAGAAGACCTGATTGGTGAAGATGGTGAAGTTGCCCATGGCGGCGGCATTAGCACCTCGGGGTGAATAGGCCGGATTCAGGGGCTTCACCGAGGCATCGTTGGGAATGTTGTTGTCCTCGTCATCGTCCTGCAGCTGATGATGGGCGGCGGGCACATTATCGCCGCCTGGCTTGTGTAAATCTGGTATTAGATTCAGCCAGAACGAGAGACGATGGGCGCGATAATGATTCTTCAGCTTTGGCTTGGTATCTGTGCGGGGATGGGAGAAGTATGTGGAGAAAAATAAATAAACGTCATAACCTTTTATTGGTAGTTCAATAACCTCTTTTATAATAGTTAATACTCATAGCTGAATAAGTGTACGCAAAAAGTTTGTTTCAGCAATCGTTGCTGGATAATTATATAAATAGTAAGTTTAAAAAATCGAGCATCTTACACTATCTTATCACAACCCGAGCTATTGCTTTGGACTTTGTCTGCGTCAGCTTTAAACTGTAATATTTCCCTAATATACTTTCTTATTTCATTGAACACATAAATCTAAAGTTATACTCTTGATGCTTTGTTAAAAAAAATAAATACTTCACTCTCCTCGCTCTTTTACTAAGTTATAGTGTATAGAAGTTGGAGAATCAAGCAAAGCCTAATAACCATTTCTTACTTAATCCCTTACTCACCAAAATTCAAGTACTTCTTGTGCACGCTCTCATAAGCCGTCCACTCAATGGTCTTGTAACGACTGCGCTCCTGTCGACTGCCATGCTCCGTCTCCATTTGCTCATTTGGATTTCTGTGTGTGGATGGATGGGGGTAGATGGGAGTGTTTACATAATGTTGACTGAGCGCGCGGCAAGCCACACATCTGCCCCATCCCATTACAGCAGCCCCACCTAACAACCATTTGCACTTACCCGCTGCGCACAAAGTTGGACCAGTAGAACATGACGACCTCCGATAGACTGATTTCGGTTTTCGTATAGTTGCGCGTAAAATGATTGAAACCACCAACCAGCGGTGCACCAAAGATATATGGCAAGTCCTCGCCGTGTATGCAGCCCTGACGCTGCAAAATGCACAAAGCAGAGATGAGTGTGCAACGATTAGATGCGTGTATGTTACAGTTTCGAGTACGACTATATTGTGGGTGGTTTGATTCTCCTTCGTTGCCACAACGAACGGCACAGCAACTATTGCCGGTTATTATGTGCATGCCATTGCTGGATCGGAATGTGGTGACCATTATGCGATAGCACGCACGACTGCTTGACATTGTGGATTAATGCAGTTGATGAGATCGAAATTGTAGTATATGGCATGGTGAGTCCACTTGAATGCGGCTACATAATACCTATTATATGCAATACCGCCTCGCTTATGCGGACAATTAGATATTTAGATATAATAATTCGAATACCTAATACACATCTTCTTTGATTTTTAAGCTTTACTCTGAGTTTCTTTTCCAACCATGGAAGATTTGAACTGATTATTATTTTCCAAGGAATATGAAGGTCAACTCATCTAGCTTGGTCCCTGAGACGTATCATCGCAGTAGGTAGATAATCAACGAAGCATTTTGTGGAAACATTCAACTCTTTAAACAAAACAATTCTTGAATCTTGCGATGTTCGGTTCTACATAAGGTGACTTTTTTTCTTTTCTTCTCAATCACCATCACAAACATCGTGCTACAGCGTCGCAGTCATAAGTATTCTTATCTGATTACATATTATAGGTAATTTAAAGCGAAACGAGTTTGAACCTTGTATGGATTCTTCTTTACGCCACCAGCTTGTTGCCAGCACACTTGGGACTCTAGATAATTTGTTCTTTAAAAAATATTCTTTTTCTGTATTTTGTGTGGGGGAATTGTTTTCCTTCAATGTCTTTGCTGGCATTTCAGATTATTTCATATTCACAGACAGCTTTAAGTTTTCAACATACCTGTGGATAATCGCCAAATCGCGTCTGATAGTCAAACACGTATAGGTATGAGTTTCGATGATCGGCTGAATGCAAATCGACTGTTTGAGCTGCCGGTGCCACGACTTGTGCGTCGCTCAATGCCTCCAAAGTTTCATCTCTGAAAAAATACAAATAATAGAAGTTTACAAATCACAAATCAATTTTTCCTTCAGTTGTCATCTTGCCATCAGTTGTCAACCCTTTGGCCCTAACAAGCCATTTGGAGTGACACTAGACAATGGGTTCTCTCTGTCCAATTGGCGGGTGGCACTTCACAGATCAACTTCAGACCCTGTTTGTGAAGTGCGTCTGCTTCGATGTTGTCACTCGAGAAAAAGTCGTCTAAGCCTATTTAGAAAATACTCTTTCGACAGACGACTGATTGGCTGCGATCCCCCTTCCCCTATCTCTGCTATTTGAAGCTGCTATGTTTTGGGTGTTGCTTTATGCATTTCAAATGCACTGGCAAAATTTGAATAAAAACCATTTGCAGCATTTGCATATCGTTCGTTGAGCTTAGTGTAGAGTGCATTGCACAGGGCGTTGTGCTTTACGTTTTTGTTGGTTGATTTTTATGGCTTTGCATTACATATTTTATATACAGATACACTTCTATGCTATATATTTTAAAAAAATAAACATTTTGCTTTGTCACTGACAACTAAACTATGTATTGAGGGGGCACTGGAAATTAAGCAGTCAGCGTTGCAGTTTTTGTAGCACAAAGCAGCTTAATGCAAAATTGTGGGAGAATAGAATTTGAAATTGCTGACACATAATACAAGTATGTACAAGGAGTACATAAAAATCCTGTTTTTGACCAGATATACGATATCGTATAATTTTTATCACATATTGGAGGAAAAATGAATACAATCCGAAAGTCGAAAACCAGAGCAAGAAAGGCCAATTCTTAACTGGCAAATGCGCAATGCAAACTTTGTTTCTAAATGTTACCTTATTTTGAAAAGCCCTGGAAGTGCTTTGATGATGTTGGATCAACTAAGTATAAGGTTTTCTTAAGATGCAAATGCAACATACACGTGTGCTGAAAATTGTGATAAAATCGTTTGATTTAAAAACGATAACCTTATCCGAAAGATACAAAAGTAATAATTCAGCTAACCAGAGACACTTTCGGAGAATTTTAATTAAAATACAAATAATAATGCTTTGAAAATAAAATGAGAAATTGCCGATATTCCAATTCCAATACAAATTCTGCAAAACATTTAAAGAAAAAACTCAAAGTATAAACTATTAAGAAAATAAATATTTTATGTAAAAACGATAACCTTATCCGAAAGTTACAAAAGTAACAATTGTGCTAACCAGAGACACTGTCGAAGTATTTTAATAAAAATAATAATGCTTTGAAAATAGAATGAGAAATTGAGAAATGAGAAATACAAATTCTGCAAAACATTTAAAGAACAAATTCAAAGTATAAAGTATTAAGAAAATAAATATTCTATGTGAAAACTATAGGAATTAATTAAAATTGTCAAGCAAATGTCGGCGTGAAATTATTCCATTTAAAATGTATTTTAACCTTTAAAATGAAATGTTATTGATTCAGGTGATTTCAGGTTAAACATTACATACAAGTTTGTAAAATGAGGCTAACTATACAATTTACCAATCAAATGCTAGCCGACTTATGCTAATCGCTTCAATATTGATTTTGTGAGAGAGATTTTTTTTTATTGATATTTGCCTTTTCAGTTTTCAAAAACAAATGCGATTTAAGTCGTCGCATAAATATGTCTGCACATATATCATGCAATAACAAAAATACAAGCACACTCTAATATTTATTTTGGTCTTTTGGTATTTTTGCCATATTGAAATTCAATTTAAAATATGCGCACGATTCTTTGCGATACAACGAACTCTGCCCAGATCAGATGGAACAGCTGAAGCGTGAAGCGTTTCCTGCTTCAGTGCATGACAGCTTAACGCACGTTTGCGCTCCAAGTAAGGCGACTCAGAGATATGAAAAGCAATATTATTAAGTATACGCTAAGTTATGCTTAGCTTCGCTATTTGCATGTGAACAAGTTTATGTTTGTATTTATATATATGTCTGTGTGTGTGTCTATTCATTGAAATGGCAAAAGTCTTTTGCATAACTTATGCATATATAGCTACAATTTTTCACTTTTAGTCACAAACTGTAAATAAAATACTGCGATATTATTGAATTGAAATTCGATTGAAAGTCAATATGCATTTATTTGTTTAACCTACTAGTCGCAAAATACAAGTAGAACACCAACACGTGTGTGTGTGTTTGTTTTTGTGACGTATTGATAAAAATCAAAAGTAAACAAATTTTTGATTGAATTTGTGCAATTAAATATCATTCATACGCCCCGTTGCACCAGCAGCTGCCTTATTTCAATTTCTCAATTAAATTTAACATATCTCCGTATTTTACTTTGTCTTTGTCCCCCTCCCTTGTTCTCCTTTCGCCCTTGTTCTTTGCTGCAGCTGCCAGGATATTTATGAAGATTGGCAGGCGCAAAATTTGCATTTCATTTGCCATAAGATTGAAATCAAGCATTTTAAAGCCACTTTAATTGGATATGCCGCATGAAAAAAGAAGTCAGACATGTAGACAGACAGAGCGAGAGAATCAGACAGCAAAAACAAAGAGAGGAAAAGAGAGAGCGAGATAGTGAGGGTCTGGGCTGCATTCGTAGTTATAAGCACGCACATCCACCAGCGCATACCGGCGCGCATTTAATTAAGAAAGAAATATTTTTTGGCCAGCAAATGCGTCAAGGCCCCCACGTTCACGTTCATGACCACGCCCACACATTTATTCGGCTCGACAATCACAGTGCTTTTGCTTGCCATTCCATTCGTTTCGTTTCCTTTCGTTTCCCTTACTTTCCGGCACACAAACACAATTACTCACCTGATATTAATTGGATGCTGCACCGGTCTCTCCCAATCCGTATACTCATTGACAATCGTTGCGAATATTTCGTTCAAATGAAATGTGTACGTGTTACGTACGTAGGCCTTTAAAATTCTCGAACGACGATCCGCCTCAATGCCATACTGTACGTCGCCAGAGTTGAAGGAGAAGAAGGCTTCGGCACGTGTCACGCCAGCCATCAGGTCGTATCTGAAATGGTAGGAGTTGAGAGCATTGAGAGCAAATGTTGTATGTTGTCTGCCAAAAAACCAGAAAATTCATGCGGAATTTGCGGGCATATTTAAGCTACACGCAGATGCCAAATACAAAATCTTTTGACAAGCGATTAGAGTTCAAAAGCAGCTGGTATTGATGGCGAAATTGAGATAAGCCTTTTGAAAAGAACGTTGCTTGCCTCTTTTTTCTGCTTCTTGTGGTTGTAGAAACCAAGTTGGAATAATATGTGACAGAAGAAATAAATGGTTTGGAATTAAAGTATTTCAGTTATCAAAAGTTGCACAAATTAAGGACAGTTCTCCAACTTTTAATTATTCAAAATCTATTATTTATGTGCAAGTTTTATTCCAAGTCTCAGAGTGAGTGCGCAATAAATTACAAATTATTGCTACATTTTAAAACCCATTTGATCAATTTTTTAAAAATAAATACAAAATATTTCAAATATTGATATGAAAGTTTTACTCAAACTCTAATCTTTTATTTTTTTATAAAAATATTATTTTCACAGAGGGTGCTATTAAGGTCATATTTTGAATAAAAAAATAATAATCAATTATTTGAACTATTTTAGCAAATTTGAACTATTCGGCAATAGGTTTGTCACAATTACATTTATTACAGGGCTAAGGCAAACTACATTTCTTTTATTTTAAACCAGCATGTTTTCATTTTTTATATAGAAGTACCCAATTGGTTTCGCATTACACTCTATTATTTTTCACTCTATTATTTTTCATTCTAATATTTTTATCTTATTGGTTTGTAATATTTTCTAATAATTGCCCATTTTCTGAAAATGTCATTTTGAAACTGAGCCTTTAATTGATTTAAAAGCATTTCACAAGAGATACTGAATGATTTTCAAACGGGTTTATGTTTTGTAAGACGTATACAAAGATTGTCTCAATGTTGCTCCGTCTTCAGCTGCTTTTAATTTAGGATTAAAATAGATTTTAGAAACAGTTTCTTTTTCTATACAAAGCCAGAATTAAAAACCACCTATTTTCTTTTCATTTCTTAACAAAACTCTCCACTGATGCCTGTACTCGTATATGCATTAAATCATCATTTAAGCTATTTGTCTGGAATCTTTTAGCTACTCCTTGATGTGCTTTATGCATTCTAGCATATATCAACTGCACTCTCAAAATTTCTATGCATAGTTTGTGGTTATTCGCCAAAACCGAATTGTTGTTGTTATGCTTTCTTGTTGCTGTCGTTAGTTTTAGTTTTCGGCAGTCTACCATTTATTTTGCAGCTGCATTTTATTTTATTTAACTTTGCATTTGTGTATACATGTATGTAGGTACGAGTGTACATATATGTTTAATGGAATTTGTGTATAACATATATAAAACATTTTTATGTTGCTTGCACTCGTCGCATATCTGTATGTGTGTGCTTGCATGAATGTGGTAGCCGTAGTTGCTATCTTTGTCAGCAAATTGCTTTAAAATGTGTGCACAAAGAAGTATTTTTAGTGAAGAAGCACTTTGGAACTTCTTAGTGATAAGCCTTAAGCATTGGCATTTCCAAGGCATACAGGAGAATAGAAAGAGAGGGGAAACGAAACGAAAGAAATGCTGAGAAAAGCTTAGCTAAATACTAGAAATATTTAGCTCGTATAAGAAAGCATAAAATAAATGCGCTGTTTTATACTCGTATGGAAAATACGAACAAATTCCTTTAACTTTTTTTTGTGATTTTATTTGCTTTCCTTATTTACAACATGAAGAGAAAGTTTTAAAAGCTGAGGTAGCATATTAAAGCTTAAAGTCTATGAACATATTTCTATTAAATTGAATTTAAATATGATTTTTGGTAAAGCAATAGGTCACGACTGTGTCAACTGTAAGCGGTTTGTTGTAATATAATTTAAATACCGAAAGAAATGCGATTATGTGAAGCACTTGCTTATGACTTATGGCATAATAATTCATGTACGCTTAACATTGTTATTTCAAGAAATAAAAATATTTGAATGAGAAGGCTATGTGCTACTCTTTAATTTGCATAAGTTAGGAAACGAAGTTCACCATTCTATTAAATAGTCATATTTTGTTACATTTTTCAAAGAACTTTTTTTGTGGTCTATACCCATAGAAAATATTTTATATTATTGCCCTCCTACCTCGAGAGCCCCCTAGTGCTTCCTTTGACCGTGCTCAGGTACCTGTTTGCAACATAAATTATGAAATCCCAGCTAATTAGCTGTTAATAATATATTAACATGGCGTAATGCCAGTACAAAGTGCATAAATCAAGCGCCAATGCAAAATCTCCCATACACTCAGCCGCCACTAAGGTACACACTCACTCGCAAGCAAAGCAAAGCAAGTAAATGCATTTGCCGGGCAAGCACAATGTGTGTAACAAAATGGGCGCAGCACGACTTGGTGTTGTTAATGTGCATAAATTAATGAACAGTAAATGTAGACCCTCTTACAAATGTATGCTTTGTATGTGAGTGTGTGAGAGTCGTGTTTGTGCTTAGGCTATGCACACACTCATACATACTATATATACTATATGTTATATCAAACCCACCCATGGCAGGATTTGTATTACACTTCCTAGTGCCATGTTAAGTCATAGCTTATCGCCGCCTAAAGTTGGCGCGATTTTGAATGTTGCATAGTGGCGATATTATATTATCGTGAATGCGAAAAGCACGCGAAAAAAGCTCTGCCGCAGCGCAGAACTTTAAATTAATTAAGCGCCCCGAGTGTAGCATACTTTTATGGGCAATGCAGCTGTTGCACGCATGTGTGGGAATAAAATAATTTAAGGCAGAAATAATTAAGCTAAAATATACAAAGGCCACGGGGGCTGGCAGTTGGCTAAAGGGAAGGTAAAGGAAGCGGCAAAAACTTACCTTGACAACTTGTTAATGGCAGTTTTTCTCATTAATACTGCATTAATTAAAAAGCCGCCACATGGTGTACGTGCGTGTCCATATATTAGTACAAATGTGTGTGTGTGTGTGCGTTGTTGTAGTTAATGGCAGCCATGATGTTGTTGTAGGAACAAACATGTCAGTTCACAAGTGCAAGACCCGTCACCACCAGCACCGTAGTCGTCGTTATCGTGTTTGTCGATTGCATGCGATTGGTTGGGGGGAGAAAAAGAGTTGGAAACATGGGGCGCATTATAATTTATTTTAATTATAAAATATGTCAAATTAAATTGCAATTTAACGACCTCTCTCACACATACTCACATCCCTACGCCAGGGAAACAGTGTGTGTTTGTACCCATATAATTCAACTGATGTGAGCGAGCATTTACAAATTAAATTTAAAATTAAAAGTAGCAGTGTAGACTCAATATGCTTGCTTATTTATAATAAAAGATATTGGGTTGACATTGTTTATTTAAAATTTTCTCTTCTAAAAGCAAGCTAAGAAATATATATACGAGTACATCTATAATATATGTATATATGGGATGTACCAAATAAGTTCTGTAGCGGTAATAGAAAATAAACACTAATTATAATTCGATAAGTGCAGACCAAATTATTTTATATATAGCCGCTAAGTAATTGGGTCTACGCTGATTCTTCAAATCTCGTATCCCTTCAATAAATAAGTAGTAATAATTAGTATATAGTTATACAAATAATACATGTTCTGTAAAGTTTAAAATATTAAAAAAAAAGTATATCTTTTTGTAATCAAAAACCTATTTTAAAAATTTAATCAAATAATGTGAATGTGTTTTTTTTTTTTTTTTTTTATATAAAATAACAAATTTTAAGTGTAAGTGTTTACTCGATTATTTTTGTATTTAAAATTCAAATGATTGGGTCTACGCTAACTATTCAAAATTTGTACCTATTCTTCCAAACATTTTGACAAATTTAGTGATTTATTAATTTCTGTGCATAAAAAATCATAAATTCTTCGAATTAAGAAAAGTTATGTAAAAAATTATTTTAAATTATGTATTTAATCAATTTTCAAATTCCAATTCTATTTTTATGGTTGAAACTAAAAATATTTAACTCCACACAAATATTTAAATACGTTAGGAACCACAAAAGTTTAAACGAAAGAGTATACTGATACTGAATCAAATATTTACAGAAGAAATAATTTGAAATGTTTAAAATAAACCTAAATAACAACAAATTCAATTTAAGTAAATGGGGTGTACCACAATTTATAATTCAGTTTTTTTGACTAAATGTGCGCACATTAAATTTGACTTATATTTATTGATCAATTACCAAGATTAATGCAATTAACAAACGAAATCATCATGGAATTAGTATATTGGTGAATAAAAGAACAAATGTGATGTCAGCTGGTAAGAACATTAATTGGGCTTGGTTTTTTTGAGGTGGAATCGGAAAAATCGCAACAAATGTAAAATATAAACTTTAAGCAAATTTTACAAATTTTTAGTAGAAGTGTACGCTTAGTTATTTGTATATCGATTTTAAATATCGAGGGGTACACTTCCTACTAAAAATTTGTTTTCCCACATCAATTTGGTCAATTTATTATTAATTGTGAATTTAAAAATAAAACCTATAAAATAAAAATTTAAAAAACATTAAAAATAATTAATAATAATAATAATAAAACCAAAAACCAAAATAAACTAAAAACAAAGAATATGATCAAATAAACATAAAAAATACAAGTTAAATAAAATATAAATTAAATGAAAAGGATGTAATTGAAAGAAATCAATTGTCAATTAAAAATATATCTTATCTTACCAATGTTTTCCAGTTGCCCGGGCGTTCCCCAGCCTCCTGCGGCGGCTATGCCCGCCTCGCCACCCAGACCATTACCTGCCGCTGTCGAAGCCTGGGCCTGAGCCTGTGCAGCTGGTGAACCGGGAGCCGGAGGCACATAATCTCCGCCATCGATGACCACCCCATCAATGCTGGGCCCGAAGGCAAACCCGAATTCGGGCGGACGTATGGGCACACTCAGCAACTGCTCGAGTGTCTTCTCGCGCAGACATTTCATGAGATGGGCATGCGGCAAATCCGAAGCACAGTTGACATGATGAGCCACAATCGCCGCATATTTGGCCGGATTGCTGACGAGCGACCAGGGCGCTAAGCCGGAGCCAGACATCAGCATGGCGCGATTGAAGAGCAGGCCTGAGTGGAAGGATAAAGCATAGTGAATATGTTTAATGGCATTGCCAATTAGTCATAGTGGCTGCGCTGCGGTTTTATGTGCGATGACTTACCCTCCGGCACTGCCATTGACGATATTAGAAAGTGGACACAGGCCGCTCCGGTGCCATGACCTGCCAGAGTTATGCTGTTCGGATCGCCCCCAAAGGCTGCTATGTTCTCCTTGAGCCAGTGCAGAGCCGCAATGATGTCCATCAGGCCGTAATTGGCAGGCAGCTTGGAGTACCGATCCGTGTTGGCATTCAGAAAGCCTAGAAATATGTATATAGAAGATTATAACATTTATCAGACGCATTGTGTGCACATGATTAGGCTCAAGGACCGTCATCACCAACCCCTGCTAACTAATGAAAACTTAATCGAACTGCAATGTCGGTGCCAGTCTGGTCAGCCCACAGGCTGCCCGGCTGACTGGCTGGCTGCTGGCTGGTTGCCTGGCTGGCTGGCTATTTAAAATGTCAAACGCATCGCACAACACTTGAAAATGTGCACAGTCACGCGTGCAAATCATGATGTCAGCACTTCCGTTTCCGCACAGTAAACGCATCGGCAGCGACATCAGCAGCAGCGTTGACCGTGACAGCAGCAGCAGCACTGGCAAATGAGGTCACACTAATTTGGTGTGCATTTTAATTTTTACAGTGTATGCACCATTATCTACAGTGGGCCAAGATTGAAACCAAAATATTCATACATTCATTCATCAAATCAGAATAATATGTCTTCTATAGTCAGAATATACGCCGGCAAAATGTATTGGCAGTTCATTTTGATTGATCTCATAAGCTTTTTTATATGTGTAATTTAATCAGTATTTATTATTTCCAGTTTCCCGTTTGCTAGCTGTTATCTATTCTAGGGAGGAGAGGGCTCCTTAAAAGTACTGGAACAGTAACAACAACAATAATCATTTAATACTATACTATCAGTATTTTAATTATTTCACTTTTAAATTACAGACTTAAGTGTTGAAATCAATTGATTTTCTTTTCAAAAAAATTGCTAATGATACATAAAAGCGTAGGGATTAAAATTTTCCGCGATCCCGTCCCAAAGAAATATAGCACATTAAAATAATAATCAGAAGTGGACGTTTATTGATTCAAATTTAAACGGATAAATAGAGTGAATATTAAAAATTCATTTCTGTGACAATTTTATGAATTTTTATTTGTTAAAAAAGACTATAAGGGTAAGAGAAAGGAAAAAATGTTATTTCGGATAAATTAAATTGAAACTTAAGATTTATATTTATAGAAAACTATTAAATAGAAAACAAGACTAAAGTGCATATTTTGTATATGCGAATACAGCTATGGTATCGATATGTTATTGAATTTCTATCGATATGTGGGATTCCGTAAGCTTTTCTTATTTTATTTGGGGCCTACTGTACTGGTTTAGAAATGTTTACTCGTCTGTAACTAAATAAGTATAGATTATGGCATTGAAGCCCAACTGAATGTTGTTGTTGCTGCGACTGCTGCTGCTGCTGCTGCCGTCAACGGAAGTGCAGCCTTTGCAGTGGCTTAAAAGCTCAGCCAGTTGCCGAAAATGCCGTGCACGTTGCGCTCTCGCTGAAATGTTTGTCTCGTTTCGTTAAACTCGTTTCCCATGCACTCAGCATATCAATTAGCATTAGTGAGCGAGTTGAGTGGACGAGTGTATAAGTGTGTGTGTGTGTGTGTGTGTGTTGATGTGTGTATTTGTGTATTCGTAGATGCACTTACCCAACACGCCGAGGCGATAATTTATGGTCACCACCAATATTTGTCCATAGCTAGCCAGCACAGAGCCATCGTAGGGATTGCCACTGTTCCATTCATATGATTCGCCGTGCACGAACACCAGCACCGGATATTTTGTGGGTCCGGGTGAGGAGGTGCCAGAGCTACCAGAGTTGCTGCTGGAACTGCTCGAACTGCTGCTGGAACTGCTGCCGCTGCTGCTGCTACTCGAGTCACGGGAGCCAACTGAAAATTGGTAGAAGAGAACGATACAGGGGGTTATTAATCGAGAACGTTTGTTTGTGGGAAATATTGCAGCAAAGGAAAAAAGTAGACAGATATTGATGATCCCAACCATGGGCTGTCTCTGGACAGCCTAGGCATAAAAAAGCTGTTCGTAATGCTCGCTGCACTTAATGGTTATTCCTCTCAATCATTTTTCTTCTCTTCTTTTTAATATGAAATCGTTTGTCGTTAACAAATTTAAACTTGTGTGGACGAGTCTTTAATAAACATAGAAAATGCCAACATTAAGCTACAGATTTAACATTTTCTCCACATCTGTTAGCACTTCCTTTGCCCGTTAATCTAGCAATGCTGCTGTCAATGTTAACAATACACGGAAATGCGGCATTTGAGTGGCCTAAAGTATCGGAAAAGGCACCACAGTTGTTGCAGGGCCATCAACATTAATCAACATGGCTTGCCAATACCAAAATCGTAGTCTTACTTCAAGGGCGCCACGAAAAGGGTAGAGCCAAAGGCAGGAGAGGGGAGTCTAAGAACTTGGGTAAACAAAACATTAAATCAGCTGAAGTCATGTTTGGGATTTTTGTGCCGCAAACGCAAGACAAATGAGAGCCTAAGCCCGAAAATAGCCATATTAGACGTAAACAACTCTATGTGCAGAGAGAAAAAGCTTAAAGTCATCAAAGGGTCTGGTTCTTGTGGCCACGTGTGTTGCCCCTCAGCATATTGACAGGCCTTTGAGCTTCGAATAATCAAGGCCCTCAACAGATGTCATTTAACCCTTGCCAGTCGACTCCCAACAAGTGTTGAAGTCCACAACTGAAACATGTCGGCATGCAAATTCGAAGTGGTCAGATTTTTGTTTACCTTCCGCTTGATGGCAAAGAAATCTGCGGGGGGCTTAAAGTTAAAGCAGACCTGTGCATTAATGCCTATATAGCTGAACTGTTGCTTGCGATGGGGCTTTTATTATTTATTTCTGAGTATAATCTTTGAGGAACACATGTGAATTATTAATGTTTTCACCTTTGTGAACTTAATTAGCAGAAACTGTTAAGAAACATATTGCATTGAACAGTTTAATATTTATTGAACTTTTTATAGATCTCTTTAATAATTTAAAGTTCAGTTAAAGGCCATATATTTGTAATATAACAATAACCCCTAACCTTAATATGATTTCACTTATTTTACACAATACTTGAATGATTTCTGCTGGAGAATTAACGAAACCAACAAGAAGTATATACTATATGTGTATATATTCACAAACTACTTATATAAAGAGTTGGCTGCAAATGCATTCACTACCACAGCCTGACAGTATGTGGAGCAAGCTGCAGTATACATATCGCAGCTAGTGTACATATGGATGTACGAGTATATGTATCTAAATAGCCGCAGACAAGCAGCAGCAATACGGAACTTGAACAAAAGCCACAACAACAATTGCAACAAAGGAATATGAGCATGAATTTTTCGTGCCCACATACAAACTTGCTTGAAATACGTACGAGTATGTGTGTGTGTGTGTATAAAATATAATTTTTTTTTTTTTTTGCTTCTTTTTTGTTTGGGCTGGAACAAAAGAACTTGCTTATCAAAGCGGAAAAAGAGTTGCGCTCATGTGTGTGAGTGTGAGTGTGTGTGTGCGTGTGTTTGTGGTTGTGGCCAAGAGTTAGAAGTGTGTAGTAAAACGTGGCAAGAGAATGCCATAAAACCAAAGAAGGAAATCAAGTTACTGTGTCAGTGACTTTTATAAATAGCGTGAACAAAAGGCGAAAGGCACGCGACAGGCCACAAATGGCGATGTCAGAGATAGCTAGAGAGAGAGAGATAAATGTGTTTCTCTCTGTGTCTGTGTGTGTTTGTACGTGTATGTATATGCGTGTGAGCCAATGTCAATATCTATTTAAAGGTATAGAGACCACTTCTCCACACATTCGCCTTTCCAGCAACCGCACAATGAGCCGTTGAAGTCAAAGTCATATTCACACCTAGAGCGCTAATTCGATGAAATTCATTCGTTGGCTGCCATTGTCAGAAAGCAGCTATAGAGTTAGTCATGTGGGTACTGTGTGATACACACACTCGAGTCCACACATGCGCTCACACACACACACACACACACTCACCTTACCATATTCATTGAGATATTTTGCGTGAAAGCTGCCAGGTAGGTAGCTAACGCGCCCGTCATTGTTGCCAAAATCACACTTCAAAGTGCTAGAAGCTTCATCTTCCACCAGCAGCAACAACCTCGAACTTTGGCCATTATGCAAGGATGTTGCTGCTAAGGATGGAAGTGTTGGAAAATGCCAAGAAAAGTGTCACGCGAGTTGACACACCGCTTGCATAAGTGCTTTATTATTAGGATGATCAACTTATTTCCTTCAAATTGAAGAAAGGATTCATCATTTCATTTGAAGTTTACATTTTCATATCAAAGCTAAAGCTTCAATTTTAATAACATTTATATGTATTTATTTTTAGATTATTGTCAAAGCAAGAGTTGAAAGGGAAAAGAAAAAAGATTTTAGTATTGATTAACCGAAGTGTTCCAAAGAATATAATATTTTTTAATTAAATTGATGGAAGTAGGTTTATTTAAATAAATATATCTTTCGTTTGTAATTTTGGCGCAATTTAAATTAAAAATGGAAAACAAAATTTCACCATTTCTTAAAACATTCAATTTAAACACTCTTGAATTACTATATACTCGTAAGTTAGAATATGAAAGGGTGCTTATACAAAAGCTTAACCAATTAATTTGTATTTTAAATCGGTTTGATATTTTGGTGCAAAATATACGTAGAAGAGCATTTTTAAATAAAGCTAGAATGAGAGCCAGAGGAGTTGGAATATGTTTTTTAAATGTAGACTATAGTAGAGAAGCAATAAATGTGAATGTGTGTGTTTGTCAAGATGTACTGATATTTTGTTATTATTAATAAGACCCCCTCTGATCTTTTGTACCCAAGCATGGTGTCCGGATAGAAAAGATTGTTATAATTGTAATGACATTTCAGAAGCAACAACTTTCCATCTCTGTAAGCATTCTGCATTTTTTTTTTTTACCAAAACTGACATAGGTTGGAATGACTGCTCGTATCAGAAGTATTTGATCATAATTTTGATTCCAATTGCTTCCTCTTTAATATATTTTTTTTACTTCTCTTCTCTTCGGAATTATTGCCATTCAGTCACGAACTCATCTCTTTTTGGGGTACAGCTCTTGTTGTTGTGACTTAATGCCAACATACGCTTGGTTTTAATTTCAATTTGGCATGCAAAGGCGGATTTAATGAAGCGTTTGCGTCATGAATTCATTCTGGAAATTGATTTTCAGCGGACTCTTCTAAGTGGCTGTCTTTCTTGCTGCCTTTCAGGCGAATGTTTGTCTGTCTGTTTGTTGGTGTGTCAGGCAATAAGCAGAACTTTAAGTGCAAACTACATATCACAGTAATTTCGAACGAATGTGTTGTGTGTGGAGGGATGGGGAGGGGCACTGGGCAACCGCGCAACATGCAAACAGCTTTTAAAAGTTAGCTGGCGGGGGCAGAAGCCCCCCTCTTGGAAAGTCGGCAGAAATGCTCGGCAAACTTTTTATGTCATTTCAACATGGTTGGCTGACAAGCAGCGCCTTGGCGCTCAGCACCCGGGGGTGCTACTTAACCAAAAAACTTTATGGTTGAGGCCGACAACAGGAACAGTAACAGGCAACAGCAACAACGGCTGGAGAAAGCAAAAGTTGTGCTATGTTCTCTATATCTGTACTCTTCTACACTTTCTGGAGTCGGCCTAAAAACTTGTAAAATAGTTTGCCCGCCAAGTTTTCCGCATAATTTCAGCAAATGTAAATATTTTGTGAAAATAAATACAAGTATTGCATGTTATATGCACAACAACAACAGCAACATCACTGCGAGCAGTATTTGGTGGAAGAGGGCGGAGGGTGTGGCAACAGGGGAAGATTACAAGACAACAACTAAAAACTAATGCGACTTGTGTGACTCTTAACGGCATTTTGGGTTGCTTGTTAATAACTTTAGCATGTTTTAATTTACATGTGCGTGGTTGCGCTTTTTGCCACCCCCCTTCCCCCCATTTAGAAAGTGTTGGGGCTGCCTCACTGAGCCTCCTATTTATGCTCACAGACACATACAGACACGCCCACACAAACACACATTTAGGGAAGTTGGAAATCTCATACAGACATGTGTCAACTTTTTAGGCATTGCGTCGCACTGCAGTCATGTTTTCATGTCTTTCGACTTTGTCTCTCCATTTTATTTACATAAATATTTCTACTTAAACTTGCACCCTTCGCTCTGTGGGGACTTGTCTTGCCAACGACTACAACGCCAGTCAACAGTTTTATGTTATTTTGACTGACGCATAAATTTAATCATATTTGCGGCTGAGTTTTGCATAAAAAGACGAGGCATTAGAGTGGGAGATGAAGTGACTCTGCCAACATACTCGTAGTTCCTGGGCCTGCCAGCTAATGACAAATATTTTGTGGTAACATATGAATTTTATGCATAGGCGACTGAGGCGGCTGCTGAGAAATCAACCAAACGATGGAGTAGAGCGAAGTGAAGTGAAATTATTGAAAGTGAGATTTGAGTGAGAGCCGCGACAAGTGGCAGCTATAATTATAAATTCATTAGCTCAAGAGTGGTTGTCAAGCTTTAATTATATACATTTATAATTAAACTACTGCTCAAAGTTTGAAATGACAATTTCAAGTTGATAATAATACATTACGGAGTGGCTTATGGTTTTACTGAATACCTAATTTCAAATTGAAGCGCTTTCCAAATATAAATAAATAAATTTAATTAAAAATAGAATACAAAATAAATGAATATGAGATAAAATGTCAGATTTTTGATTTCAATTTTTCGTTCAAACTTTGCTTTTATTAAGCTTCGTTATTCGTAATAGCGTTAAAAAAAAACCCAAAATCAAGTAGATTCTTTTAGATACGA